TCCTAAATTATAACGCCATTTCAAACTGACGACGGCATACTTTTCATGCAGATCGAAAATACGTCACCACTGTTATGGCATCACACATTATATCATGACGTCATTTCAAACTTACTACGTCATACATTCCATGTTTTATGTAGAATCAAGATATGTCACTTACTCTAACTCTGTTTTTTAGAAAACTTGACAAAAAAAACTTGTCGGCCGAGAAAGTGTTCGAAAAGCGTGAGATGCCAGCGTTTAAGGTAAATTGTTTTGTTGAAAAGGATTTTATATCGACCGGCGTAATTCAGCCTGGTCTTGAAGAAGGGTTTTGGAGCCTTGTATAGATTTCATTATACTGTAAAGTAAATAATACAGTATTTCCTTCTGAGCGAAACGCAAAGCAGTTTATGTCATGTACATGTTCATTCTAGAACGGCGGTTCTTTAACTTTTTGAGTCGCGCCCCCTTTTTAGAATTTGTTAGGTCTCGTGCCCCACCTCAAAAATAACTAGCTAACAATAAACTACGAATAACAGATAATAAAGCGAAAGTATGTTTTATTCGACTAACACGTTGAAAATACGTAAATGGAACGAAAATATTGAAATAAATGAAAATATTTGAAATGTAAATATCTAAAATAGGGCAGGCAAGATCTAATCTAACAAATATTTTTATTTTAATTGGCGTCACGCCAACTCAAAAAATTGTCTACGCTCCCTGTTGGAAGCGCCCCACCGTTTAGGAACCACTGTATTACAGACATTGCATTTTTCACTAGCTTGGCGACAAAGTTAAAATCGTCGCAAAGGAGAAACGACTCTTCAAGATTTTGCACAAAAAAGTTGGCCTATGGAGAGAAGGATTAACTGAGGTATGGCCTAGTGATGTAAATTATGACGTCATGATTGATGAAGCCACTAATAGGTTGAAAAACTTTGTAAAATTCGCTAGTATTTTGAAAACTTAAAACTTTTTTGTAATGTTGACGTCATATCTGTATGTAATGGCGTCACATTTGATGACGTACCAATAACCGACATATTATTTTCAGTTGATTGGTGAAGAAGCAATCGTTATGAACGTCTCTTCAAGATTTGCCATTGGAGTTGCCCTAACGGAAAGAAAAGAAATGTGAGTATAGTTAAACTTCATTTAAATTAGATCTAAAATAGGTACTCTCGCACTGCAGTATGTGTACCGGGTTAGACCATAATTTTACTCCGTTTTTAGTTCTATTACGAGTTCGGGGACTGTCTGTATTAGCTAAGTAAATATACCCCCTGCCCATAGGTTTCAATCCCTTTACACAACTTGATGTGAAAGTAGGCGAACAAAATTAGTTACCTCCATATTGGTACACATATACTTCTGAAGCGCTCTAAAATAAGCTTAGTGATTTCTCACATTCGCTACAAACATGTCTCTAGACAAGCAAGTACTAGCGTGTAAGAAGTCACCATTTCCATAAGAAACCGAAATTCATTTTGGTTCGCATTGCTGACCCAATTTATTTCACGCTTGGCAATACTTCCAAAAATATATTTTCTATGCATTGATCAAATTATAATTTTTACTTATCGATCTTGATCGGTAAGTATGTTGATAGGTATTTGTTTGTTTGTCTGTTAGATACATGCGATATCTCACGTAAGCGAGGTTGAATCTGCTCCATATTTTGCATGTGCATTCATCATATCTCGGACCAGAAGCCAATTGATTTTGGATGAACTATGTCGTATAATTAGCGAGTTATTAATTAATTAGTGATGGGACAAACGGTGTCGCTATGGAGTAAAAGCGGATGAATCGAATCCGCAGTTTCTGTTTTGGGGGATCCCCTAACTTTCGATCGATAAGTCTTCAGTCTCCGACCTATATTCTCGTTAGAATTATTATCAACTTAACAAAGTTTTTTCGATTTTATACTGTAAATAGGGCTTCAAACGAGTAGTCATGGATACACAAGGTGCTACCGCCATGGGAGGGAAACAAATTGTTCTGGTTCGCATTGTCGACCCAATTTATCACACAGTCCTCGATTTTCTTAAAAATATTTTTTTCAATGAATTATAACGCTGAAATGTTGGTTTTGAATTTTTAACAATTTTACGATGTGTTCTCATACTTTCACTGAATACAAGGGCAAGCTGTCATTGATATGTAATCTTATTTTAAAAGAACTGAATTCTTATGCGTGGGCGTGTCCGGAAAATTTCGCCACAAAAAATTTCGTCGCAGGAAATCTCCCCGCATAGAAAAATTCGCCGCATGAAATATTGCCACAAGAGCATTTTGCTGGAAAACAAGTATTTGTGATAAAAACAGATTTATAGGGTTAGGGTATGCTCTTAAATGACAAATCTTTTTCAAATAAAAAGGTACTTTCAAAAACCTAACTGTTCTTTATCACAAATATTAGTTTTACAGCAAAATGCTCTTGTGACGATTTTTCCTATGCGACAAAATTTCCGGCGGCGAGATTTCCTAGAACATGGCATGGGTGCTTAAAAAGATATTTTTTTGGTCAACGAAAGTTGTTGTTTTATTTGACTATCGTGGAGTAAGATACTGGTTTATGCTGGAAATAAAACAATGCTTAAAACACCTTAATGTTTTCTTAGCGCGTTTTAAGTAAGATTTTTAAATAACAATATATTGAAAGAGAAGGAAATCTTTAAACGCCGAATCATCGGACTAACATTACGATTATATTCTTTACATGACAGAATTTGTTTTGAGACACCAAATTATATTATAACCTAACAAGTATATAAATCACAATCACTCGTTTGATGAGCCTCTAATTGATTATAATTAGACAAATGGCAACAGAACGTTAAAAAGTTGATGCTGAGTGCGAATGGTTTAATGGCGCGAAAAATATTCAAATGATCAGTCTTTGCGCACTGCTTGAAATTCAACTGAAATCTGTGTGAAAAAATGCGATTCATTGACCGTTCTTTCGGTTTTTAACTTTCTAAAAATATGTGCGGCCGGCCAATGACTCGCAACTGTTAATTTTGGCCCGCGAACAACAAAAGTTTGCCGACTCCTGGTGTAGAAAAACCCATAACCGTTTCATCTTTTAATCAGATGAGCTATACATTGTGATGGCAGAGAGTCCGGCGATCTAGTTTATACTTGTATCCTAGTTCTTTAAAACAACAATATCATTATGTATTCTAATCAAGGGCTCAGCTGCATGGATTTGCTATGGAACACGTGAAAAATGGAGTCTGCAAGGGACTTTGGCAAAATAATACAGAGTTTCAGGTTTTTTATTTTTTTTATTTAGTAGTACCATACCCCGAATATGATGGGGTTCTCACTATGCTGATCAAATTTTTGATTTAAACCTACGTGTGTAGAGTCGGGGATATATGTTTGTATCCTACTTCGAATTAAAATTTCGAAACATTAAAAAATGACACCGGACGCGATTCCTGACTCCGGATTGAAAAAAATTTGACTGCAACTCCTGAGCTTGATTCTAGGTTGAAGAAAATTCCCAATACTTTTCAACTCCGAAAAATTATTATATTCAAATCAAAACATTTGCGTATGCAAGCCTTCCTTAATTACCTGTTGAGGACTCCAAGTAAATTTGATGTTTTCTGAGTCTCTAACTTTTCTAACAATGAAAGGTTGCAATTCCGAATCCGGAGAATTCAAGTTGCCCACTCCGACCACCAAGAGGTTTGTTCAGAGCTGTGGGATCTCTGATTCATTTATAAATAATTCCGGACCGAGATGCGTAACCTACAAAGCGAACGCAATTAAAATCAGCTCATATTTTCAGGTGGACGATGAAGTGGTGATCGGAGTCGCAACCGGAGTCTTGGCTCATTTGCAGAGAACAGTCAGGAAAACACCTCCCAACATCGCTGCTCAGGTATGGTCATTTTGAAAAACTTTTGGATTCAATTTTTTACGGCGTTTAATTTCGCCCTTCGCTGCGAACAAGACCACCCTACACAAGCATAATATATATAATATAAAACTATTTCCTTGTCGAAATTAGATGTCAATAAAGCCAAATGTCCCTTGCAATACGTCGTGATTTGTATTACAAAGAAACGCGTTTCAAAATTACGTTTCAAAACTCGCTGACATGAATTAATTTATTGTTTTAGCTGATCGGTTACATTGGTCGAGTGATTTGTGTCTACAGAGGGGAAGTCTTTGTAACTTTTGATGAAATGACACAGTGAGTTGATATTTATGGTTATTAGTTTTTAAGTTTTACTCTGAACAAGGCTCCACACAAACTAGCTCATATCGCTCGACGACACGTCTTTCGGTATGCTGGTATGTGCTGGCGCGCAATGTACGACTACAGTATAGGATAGGATTTCACATAATTATCCAGGCGGAGAGAAAAGCCGATAAGACGTCTTAATCATATGGCGAACCAGGACCTCTCGTCCGGTTATCAGTCCATGTCGGGTATGGGATTAGTTAGGTATTTGTTTTTCCGAAGCATGGACTTGGTGGTGGCGGAAGCCGTAACCGGCCAGCGGTTACGTGAAACACCCTACGTCACATCCCGCATCCCACGCAGGGTAATTATTAGAGATGCGGTGGCGAGCGCATTACTAACGCTTAGCACGATGCGCCACACCGCCAATTTGTATATAGTTTCAGTAGCTCTTGATATTTCCGTGGTCGTCGGTAACTTTGTTGATAGCTCAGTCTCACTTACCGTAGTTCTGTTTGAGTGCGCGTTGCGTTGCTTTGAACAAACTATCTGAAATTATCGTGAAAAAATCGGTACTCCCGAAGCATGTGAACCAAGATGGCGGCCACCGGGAGGTAGTATGTGTACCAGGTTAGGTTTAGGCCATAATTTTATTTCGATTTTCCTCATTTCAGTTCTATTACGATTTCGGGGACTAGACAAGGGACATCCCGTAGTATTTGTATGTAGTATTTTTGTTCACATACTTCAGGAGTACCAAAAAATCTTGTGTTTGTAATTCACGTTCTCGTTTTTCAAGATAATTATAAAAATTTCATGAAAGTTAACTTGAGCAGTATGCTGGTATGCAAGGCATTTGCAGCGTCATCAAGGGATATTATTATGTCATATGCTTGTTTCATGACGGCATTTGTGTATGACGTCACTTTGATTTATATTGGTACTGAAGGTTCGTATTTGTTTTTGCTCAATATTTTTTATTTTTTGTGGGACATGTTACACTGAACAAGGCTCTGTTCAGGCAGCCACTGACTTTGCTTTCTTATAAGCACAGATATATACCTGGTCCAGCACCACTAAGTCAATTTATTACACCCTGGTCGAGGGGATGAGGTTCAAACATGAGATGTTTTAACTGCAATGCCAATACAGCTGAATCCAACGCTTCACACCAGTGGATCCCAACCCTTCATGGCTCACGGGGGTTTTCAGCACTCATGGTTCCCTGTTAACCACTCCAAAAATACGAGCATGCAAGCGTTTTGCACATTTCGCCCTTTTTTGGGAGTATTGGGCACGGGCCCCGTTTGGGAACCGCTGTTCTAAATACCTGAAAACATTTATACCTTTTCATTTTTCATATTTTTAGTGAAATGTTTAATCCAGCTGCTCTGAGACTCTACAAAGACCAGGAGGCAAACAAGAAAAAATTGACAAAGAAAACAACAAGAAATGTATGTATACAACATTTACAATAGAACAAAAATTTATATCTAATATGGATAATTTTATTCATTTATATACTTAACTAATATCTGGACCAGGTTAGCAGCACCTCACCTCACCAAGGATGGAATAAAATGGGCCATAATAGTCACTTCAACCCAGTACAGCGTCCGAGGCCCTAACCGAAGGTGCAGAACCGCTCTCATAGCTCCCACCCTACCATTTTTCATTTCCATCTTCCCCCAAGAAAAGGGGACCTGCAAGAGAGATATGTGCCCTCACTCATTACCAGGGGCAAAGTCAGAAATTTTCAAAGGGAGGGTTTCTGAAATTTTTATTTGCCAAGTTAGATCGGAACAGCTAGCTGGTCCGATCGAACACTGAAATACGTGTGTTTTTATTAGTCTTGTGGGGGGGGGGGGGCGATGTGCAAAAGGCTAGGGGCTATGTGCACACATTCAAAAGTAAAATAAGCATAGTTACGGGTGACCATTGAAATACCAAGAGATTATGGTAGAAGTGTAAATTGCATAAGTCGCTTCTTAGGTATTCATTACCTGCTTGAATAGGGCCTTGCTTGGAGTGAAAACAAGGAAAAATTGTTTAGAAATTACATAAATTATGTCTTTTTACCTTTAAGACAAAAGAGTTTGCACTGCAATTGTGCGAGGTGTGTTTCTAAGCATCGAAAAAATCAGCTTGTTATTTCTCTGTTTACAGGATATACCAGTTGGTAGTACAGCTCTTGTACAATCAGATCTTCATACAGTGATGAAGCAGCAGAGAGGCCACGGAGAATGGAATTTTGAAATGACAAAGGTATGATTAATATTATTGAAGCATGCAACTGACGGAATAGCTCGCATTTAACTTTTGGTTATATATTCCGGCTGGGAATCCTTCAAATTATTTCATCCTAGAGTATTTCACAAGTTAGCAGTAACACGAGTTATGGTTGTTTGTGTGTGTGTGCATGAATTGATTTAATACTTTTTATAATAATTAAATCATGAATTGATTTAATACCCATTTTTTGACAAAAACCTGTAATCTATAAACCTTACCTAAGGTTCAGTTCCACCTCTGATTTTATAATCAGTTTTTATCAATTATTTTATCATCTGTTATGCTGATGAAGGAGTTAAAATGAACCTATACTTGTAACAAACTGGTTCATGTGTTTTAGAATCAATTTTATGTGTCCCTAGAATAATTTTATCTTGCATTGAAACCTACTACTCAATTTCCCTTACACTATTGACTATTTGACATTCAAGCTTTTTCACATGATAATTGTATTTCTGATTTAGTTTATCGGGAAAAAGGGCAATGTAGTGGACAATCTTCCAGGAGGCGATGTGAACGTCAAATTTAATTCATTCGAAATGTGAGCGCATATACTGTATTTCATATAAAAGCAGTCAATGCTTTTTTTATGCAACATATTTATATATTTTGCTCCGAACAAGGCTTGGCACAAGTAGGTTAGTTTGGAAATACCAGATCCTTTATGGTTCAGCGTAGCCTATTTATTTTATCACACCGCCAAGAATTGGAATGAGATTTAAACCTTCGATGCCTTTACTGTTAAGCATAACGATTCAACCACAAAGCTCACTAGTGGTATGAAATGGGGACTTGAAAATCTCTCGTTGCCCATAGCATGTATATAGGATTGCCCTTGATTTCTCGTCTTTTGGCAGCTTTGGTGGGCATTATCTTCCCCTAAGAGGCAAAAAAACTGAGGGGGGAGGGGTTGGGGTCTCGGGGCGATACTGCATTTTTGGAAAACCAGAATTATGGAAAAATTTGTATTGTTTATATGCCAATTGTAAAAGGCTATAGAAAACTGATGTATAGAGTGCTTTAGGACCACTGAAATAGAGCAAGACATAGAATTGTTACTTATCGATCTTGATCGGTAAGTATGTTGATAGGTATTTGTCTGTATGTTAGATGCACGCGATATCTCACGAAAGTGAGATTGGATCTGCTGCAGATTTAGCATGTGCATTCATCATAGCTCGGATCAGAAGCCTATTGATTTTGGATGGATTATGTCGTATAATTAGCGAGTTATTAATTAATTAGTGATGGGACACACGGTGTCACTATGGAGTAAGACCACTGTTTTGGGGGATCCCCTAATGTTCGATCGATAAGTCTTCAGTTTCCAACCGAATTCTAGTTTATTTTTTCGTGCAGTTCTTCATCTTAGACATCCAAAATCAATGATCTCTCAAAACTCTTTTAGCTGGAACAACGACTTTAACCCACTTTCTTTTACAATACTTTTGTTTACAGTTACCGAATGAACAGACATAGTTTGTACTTCGGTGAGAGAAAGCGAAACCGCAGTGGAACTAAACCGTCGAACAATTTGTTTGTGGTAAATCTTTTTTCATGTTCAAAGTAGAGCAACTGGTGTGGGTATAAAGTGCAGGAGTGTTGGATAGAAGCCCTAAATACAAAGTCGTGAGTCAGGTTGACTCACTCCTCATTCGAATAACCTGGAGACCAGTCAATCAGTTTGTGATAAGTGGTCACTTTAGGCGAGTTCAAATCTCCTACTGACTGACCATCTGGTGTAATAAATTGGGTTCGCGAATATTGCCAAACCGGAAAGATTCTGATCTTTAGATAAAGATAGGATTCACATATTTATCCCTGGGGAGGAAAGATGATAAGACAGCTTAATCATATGGCGAACCATGGTCTCTCGTCCAGTTACCAGTTTTTGTCGGGTATGGGATTAGTTAGCCAGTTATACGTTCCCGATGCATGGACTTGATGGTTGAGGATATTCGAAATGCACTATATAACAAGCCGGTGAATTATTTGTGAAACGACAAAACAATGTACATTTTTATAACAAAATGGCAAACTGGGTGTTTAATAAAAAGGAATACAAATCTTGTGAAATCAATTCGCTGGTGAAGAATATAGAAAGTGAATTGTCAAAAAGTGAAAAGAACTCTTAATGGAAAATGAGAAAAGTAATTCTTTACGTACCAGAGGCTGCTTATACAGAGCTTGTTTGAAATTATGGTATGAAAAAGCCTCCATGAAGAAACTGTTCCCGCGAAACTTTATATTCTCGCAATTCTCTCTTTCTTTCAGCTGGATTTAATTATCGCAAATGACTTGAGCAAAGCTTTTGCCCAAATGGTATCCCCTGTGAAACTTTCTTTATTTTTTTATACATCCAGGCTGGCGACATTGTGCGTCTAAAAATTCGCCCAGATGATCTATATAGCCACCTTCAGCTTCTTCGAATACCAGCTCAGTTTATTACGGTAGAAACATGTTTATATTTTTATTACATTCATAATGTATTTAGCTTCATTTCGATTAAATCTACTTGAAAAAAAGTCACACAAAATCATTCAGAATCAAAGGAAACTCATTTCTGAGAAAATTCAGGGTTGCCACTAATTTGCCAAGAGCTATATGCACTCACTTAGAAGCAAGGAACTCATCTCTGAGAGAAATTATTGGCGTAGGCTGAAATATCAAGAGTAGCTGCTCATGGAGAGCTGTATTTAGTGTTGAGATGTAAAAACATCTCATAATTTTGATTTTTCTTCATTTTTAATTTAACCCATTTCAAATTTTCAAAGCCATATATCGCGATGGTTTAGTGGTTAGAATCTAGCCGTTAGATTGTTGGGCTAACACATATAGTTGGCAGGTGCCGCTTTTATACAGCCCTGTTCATTGTAAACTTTTTGGAGAGAAAGGCGTTTTAGAAAATAATTGATAATATTCCTATTTAGATTGTAGGAGATCTTGCCGAGTTTGTTGGCTACATTGATGAAGTGAGATGCGTTGTTAAGTTCGGAGATGGCGTACAGTAAGTAATCGCCATTTACTATAAAAAATAATAATTACATGCAAGTTCGAATCCTGTGGGGTATAATTATAAGGAATTCGTTTTTGTGTGCGATGGCGCATCGTGAGTACGGAATTCACTCGCCGCCGCACACCTCTGATTACCCCTGCATGGGTTAGCAGGTTCGAATCCAGTGTGGGATAATTATCTGCGAGAGGATTGTTGCACTCCTCGCCGCCGTAGAGTGGTTCATGTAACCGATGGTCGGTTACGGCTTCCTCCAACCATCAAGTCCATGCATTCGAAACAAATAACTGACTACCGGTAACTAATCCCATACCGGACATGGACTGGTAACCAAACAGACGATGGGAAGTGGTATTCCATATGAATCTTATCGGCTTATATTTTATCCAAAATTTTGCTGTTCAGATTTGAAATGGATGTTCAGTTAGTGGAGAAGGTTCTAGAGGATGCTGCAGTAGTTGGCAACGATTTGAAAGTCAAAGATCAAGCTATTGGGGTGAGGATAGCTTGTGCATTATGTAGTCAAATTAGCTTGAAACTTCCATTTTCCAAGTTTATTTTGACTCCACAATCTGCATAACAAGCGATAAAATAATTGATAAAAATACATAAATAAAAACTGATTATGAAATTAGAAAAGCGAACAAAACCTTGGAGTAAGGTTTAAAGCGAATGGTTTGACCAAAAAGAAGTGGTACGTGTTCACTCACCTTAAATTATCGAAATAATCACATACATTCACACGCACAGAATATACTGTACATCAGTAGTTCTTAACCCATTCTTGCACTTTTTATCCTTTCAGCAAAGCATTTTACTAAATTTGACACCAATGTACTTTTTGGTACTCATTTATCAAAAACAAAAAATACCAAGTTTCTTCATTATTTTTATTTAATGTGACGGCTGCCTTTGTTTAATGGCAACTAGCTGTACAATGTCTGGCGGAATAGAAGGTAATGCTCAACGACTGCGCTAAAAATGGGACAAGTGGGATACAGGATTTTAGAGATGTTGTAAATCTTTGACACAATACATGATGCACAATTTTTAACAAATATCATTTGACTTAGTAATAATATTTTAAAATGTGAAGAATTTTTTTTCATTTTCCTGTATATTGTATTGTTTCACAGGTGGGCAAGGATGTTGTGCTGTCTGTAGGTCCAGAAAGTTTCGTGAAAACCTGTCTTAAAGATTTCAAACCTGGATTTGAAAAGGTAGGAGTAATTGCTTTTTACCTTTGCTATGAGTAAGGCTCCGACAAGCAACATGAGGATAGTTTTTATAAATAGTTTTCCCTAAATCTCGGGAAAACTCGGTGCTCGGTGGAACATTGTACACTTTGTACCAGTTATGCTCGTCTCCCAGGTATCTCTGCATTTTGTTTTGTCTGTTTACTTTTTGTTTTGTTTATGGCAGAGAACCAAAATAAATGATTGATTGTGTAAAATGGACTGAAACCTATGGGCAGGGGGTATATTTACTTGGCTAACACAGACAGTCCCCGAACTCCTAATAGAACTAAAATAAGGAAAATTAGAACAAACTCATGGCCTAACCTTAACCTAATACACACTTGAACAATTTGGACTTCAGGAGTACCGGTAACTCTTATTTCTACTTGAATTCTGTTTGTATAACTCTGTCAATGATCATTTTCGTCTGTTTCTTCACAGGCCTTAACTGAAGTCGCAAAGGTTGTTGGATACGATGAGAATGGCAATGCAGTGATTAAGTACTCTGATGGTAAAATGTGAGTATATAAGCAATAACTCCTGTGAATCATGGCGCACTCCACCATCTAAGTCAGGGGAGTGCAACCTGCGGCCCGCAGAATAGACCAATTTTGTGCGGCCCTCTAAACGAGTTTTTAATTTAGTGTAATATTGTATGTGCAAGTAATTCAAATCTTTCAATTGCATTAACAGCTAGCTTGTGTGAAGCGAACAGTGCATGTCATAAGATTAATACCGGTACCCAATATTTTTGTGCCTGCAACTACTAGTAAGCCTATGATAAATAAAGGTGCGGCCTGCAGTTTCGTCCAGTTATTTGTATCTGGCCCTCCTGTATTAGAGGTTGCACACCTTTGATCTAAGTCATGGACCGAACAAATTTTTTTCATTACACATTTACTTTATATAACAGGGTTTGATCAAAGTCCCTAAACACTCAATCCCTAGAGCAGGGGTTCTTAAACTTTTTTGGCTGCGTCAGGAGATGATGCCACGTTTCCCCTTTGAACTCGACAAAGCCATAGATCAAGTTTCGCTATGAGTATGTATGGCATCGTAGTGATCTATTCGGCTGGTATTATTGCCGTGTAATAACCTATTGAGAAGATTCAGGGCTTCGAAAATATCAACAAGGTATGCCAACCCAATCTAAAACTGTCAGACACGAATGACAGTAGGAGGTCCTGTTTTCCTTGCGCTTCGAGGAATAGCTTCACTTCCTCCCTCATCTCATAAACGCGAGATAACATATTGCCTTTTGACAGCCATCAAACCACCGTGTGAAACAGAAGAGCCTCAGACCAGACCTGACCATTCTCCGTCGCATCAGTAAAGCCATATTGAAGATAACTGCTGTCAAACTTTCTTTTTTTTTTGCACTCATCTTGTGTCTTACGACTAAATAATACGTGTACCGATATCTAATGAGCTACGCTTGTTTAGCCTTGCACGTACCAGTCTAGTCATTTCTGCGGTATTATTGCGTCACAAGGATAGCCGCAGCCAGTCGGGATGGGAGGAAGTGAGGCGTGTCCATTTTTGGAGTTGATAAAATTCTTCTTCGAAGGCATTGTTGGATTCGTTATTCATCGTAATTTCATGATTTTTAGCTTGTTTTACATTTGACAGTTCACGCAGCCCCCTGACTTACCTTCGCACCCCTAGTTTAAGAATCACTGCCCTAGAGATAGGCAAACTGCGTGCCCCTGCGCTAGAGGTATCTCCTTAAAAATGAACATTGACTGTTAACCGAGAGTGTACCCAGCCCAAAATTAGGGTGGGGGTGAGAATTTTTTTTTGTATACTGACATAATACGACAATTAACCTGTGTCTTTTGCTCCGAACAAGGCTAAATAAAAGCAGCCGACGATATCTTGAAGCATCTCTAGACAGACAAATTGTTCAAGAATACCGCAAAATTGTATTCAAAAAACAAAAGCTGGAAATCTTTTTTTTTTTGGGAATCACAGAATTTCATTGTTGTATCTATAAACGTCAAGACGGTGCCTATATGGGAATGACGTCCTGTGATCGGTAAAAGGAGAATGAATTGTTTTGTGCAGACAGGGCCAAGCCGATGAGACGAACTCGCGTCAAATAACTCCACATTTTAAGACACGTTTTGTTCCTTTATTTAATCAAAACACTCCTCTATTTTCAAGCGTTTGCTGTGTGACAGCAGTGACGAACCGCAGAGCTGACTTAGCGCCTCGCGATCCAGTTTTTTTTTATCTGGGTTCGAGATCCCAACTTAGACGGACTTGATTGTTTTTTGACGGTAACACTATGCCCGCTCACTGTAAAGTAATAAATTTTTTCAGGCTTTATATAGTTTCCTTGAAAAACTGATTAGAACGATAAAGTCCCATTCTTGAATATATTTAAAGTGAGTAAACTCGCGATGTTTTGATAACTTTTGGGTTTTCTCCGACTTTGGCCCGCGAGATCCCCTCAAAAGTTTTTACGGCCCGCCAACCTCGCTACCTTGCACCACCCTGTCTTACAATATCTTGAAGCATTTCTAGACGGACAAATTGTTCAAGAATCCCCCAAAATTGCATTCAAAACACAAAAACTGGCATGACTCTTTAGCACCCCTTCCCCCCATAGCTACACCTATGCTGCTACCTAGTGATGAGTTATTTTGCGATTTCATTTAAATTCGTATTGGTTGATTTTTTTCTTTGTTATTTAATGTATTTCTTTAAAAAACCTTAATTTGGGATATTTGCATAGGTACAAGCTTCCTGATGAGTATCTATGCAGTCCGAGACCTCAGTGGGCTCGACCAAAAGAGGGAGAAGTTAGAATATTTGATTGGAATCTTGAAACTAAAAATTTGTCTCCATTGGTGAGTGATTTGATGTGATCTTCACCCACAGTATAATCGATTTGGACGAAGGGGTTTGATTTGAGGGTCATTGCTCATGTCCAGTGGCGTATCAAACTTTTCTTCTGTCCAGGGCGAGTTTCTGATAATGATCCATCCCCCTTATACCCAACTTCCAAAAAAAATGGGGGATGAACAAATTATAGATGGTGGTATACATCAGACTAAATAAATTAAAGGTAGAGTAAGAGTAAAATGTTCGTAATATTAATATTTAAATCATCAAACTAAGCAACAAATTCACACCTATAACGTTCTGCCCTATTTGGCCCTCCTCTAGACACGCCACTGCCCATGTCCCCTACTCCTAGTGACTAGAAACGGGTATTATGATGTCACAGAGTTCCCATTTCCTGATACTGTGCACATTTTTATTGCTACAGCCTTGAGTTTCTTAACTTGTTACAGGTATCATCGAGTATAATTGCTTATATATGTGTAATTTTGTGTGCAGATTTTTTAAAATTCCCTCGTTGGCATCACCACATATTTTAAGAAAATGGTGGGAAATTTTACTGTGATGTAATGATACATTTTACAGAAATCCAATATTACATCACAGTGGATATTCATCCCTCTGTGTGTAACACAAGATAAGACATCCTAATATGACATCATGCCTCCCCTTCGCAATGAAATGCTCTGTACACCACTGCATGAACACACTCAGAATTAAACAATTTCATATAAACTAATTATGGTACTCCTGAAGTATGCGCACCAAGATGTCGCATAACCTGAACCCTAACATGATACACAACCTGAGTTCAGGTTGTGCGCCATCTTGGTGCGCATACTTCAGGAGGTCACTAATTATTCATGCATTATTTATTCCCAGGTTCCAAGCATTATATCAGCATTTGAAACAGACATTCTTCACTCCGTCACAGAGGTTCTGAAAGCAAACGGTTTGTAGGTTTTTTAACTAGTTTACATTGAATTTACAATGATATATCCTTGTGCTCGTTGGTTCTAAACGGGTCGCGAAAGCGTAGTGCAGCGGTTCCCAACCTATGGCTACAGAGCAGTTAGAGGGGCCACAATGCTAGGCACAAAACTGATTATACTTTCTATTTTACCAGAAAACTCACCAATCTTGCTAATTTCATTACTTGACAAGGTTATTTCACAGGGTGTTTTCACTTACTGGTAGTTGAGCATGAATTGTTTGAACATAATGGGATTTGGAATCTACCAATCAAAATAACACTATAATACCACTGGAATGATAAACTGGGGGGCCACAATCCATAAAAGGTTGGGAGCCACTGGGCCCCAGCGTTTATAGCGTTGGATGTGGCTTAGTTGGCTATTGCAGTTCAAAAATCTGGTTTTACGATTCCTTTTCTACAACCTTACCGAGGGTCATGTTAAAGTAATGAATACAACTGCTTGCCTGAAGCCTTTTATAGAGTGAATGATGTAAATGGTTGTCAGAGCCTTTTACAGAGCAAATGTGCGATTAAAAAACAAGAATTTTCGAATTACCCTGTAAATATTCCACAAAATAATATTACTTAAAATTTAATTCGCTATCAGTTTTTTATATATTGTTTATAAATTACAGGAGAAACAGATGCCTTGTGAGTACATTACAATTATTGTTGATTTTTTTTTTTAAAATATAGTTGATGATTAAGCCCTCTTATCGACTTTCCTTTCCTCTCAGATAAATATGTAAATTCTATAATTCTATAATAAATATAATTCTATTCTATATAACACTACGTGACAGTGGAAAAGTCATGAAATTTAAAAGGGCCACACAGGAACCGGGAATTTGCACAGGTCGCCATTCAAAATCTCCCAAAACCTCATGCTTTCTTATTTCAACGCAGGAATTGGAAAAGTAATGTTGCAAAGGATACCACATCTGAGAATACAAGCGTCTTAGATTTGACATTTCCCGTCGAACTTGAAGATTTTGACAAGTTTAAAGAGGAACTAATGAGTAGTTGTCGTTTATACAGCTTTTACGATTCTTTATTTACAAACATTTTTTCAATATTGTAAAAATAATTCTCACTGATTAGTTGGTTAGGGCAGAGGTGTGCAACCTTTCATACAGGACGGCAAGATATAAAAAAACTTGGTGAAACAGTGGGCGGGACCTTTATTGGACATAGGCTTTTGTAGTTGCAGGCACACAAATTCTGAAACTCATATGCATAGATAATACAGGTACAGGTAATAAATACATGTTCAAGTAGAGGGATTAGAATTACTAAATTAAAAACTTGTTTTGCGGGTCGCACATCATTCAAAATTGAAACTTCTCTGCGGGCTGCATGATTTTTCCGTGAGGGCCGCAGGCTCCACGCTCCTGGGTTTGGGTATTTAATGGGCTGGGCTCTATATCTTTGAAATTGTGTTTTGTTTTAATTCAGGTAAACTCAAACATGATGAAATCCATTCCCAGATGGAAAATGAAGTACTTGTGATAAAATCAAATGACCAATTGTATAAGGTAAATTTGATTGAACAATGAACATATAAACTTCAATTTCTGTTTTTTTTTCCATACGGCTGTTTTTATACTTTACAAAGTGTTCCTTTGTTCCCGAACAAAGTTATGTGCTCTAAATCAGCCGTATGCTACCTTTAATACAGGAGAGCCAGATACAAATAACTGGGTGAAGCCTCGGGCCGCACCTTTATTCAACATAGGCTTTCTAGTAGTTGTAAGTACAAAAATGATGATTATTGATCTTATGACATGCGTTGTTCGCTTCGCACAAGCTAGGGCATTGTAACGTCATATATATGCATAAGATAATCAATTTGACACGAGTCTAGGCTTTGCAGCGCAAATAAATTGGAATTTCTCGCTAGATTGGATTTAATTAGAAACTTGTTTTGCGGGCCGCACACCAATAAAAAACTTGCACGTCTACCCGGCGCACAAATTTTTCTTGTGGGTTGTATTTAACCCGCGGGACGCAGGCCGCACACCCTTGCTCTAAATTGTAAATTGAATTTTCAGGTTCGTTTCATGTTTGGATCTGAAGTAAATGATGCAGGAGATTTGTCAAATATAGACGGGAATGAGTCAGGTGCATTTTCATGAACAAAGGAAACATATGGATCATTTTGTTAAATTGTGGTTGTTGGTATTATTGAGAACAAATTCGCTCTTCTTTCTCTGTTGTTGTTGTGATCGCTATAACTTTTCCATAATTTCATGTTTTTCATTTCCCAAATTTTGCTGTTTCTACCGTGTTTCCCGAGAAATATCGGGGTCTGATTTTATTTTTTTTTGAATAATAACACTAGGGCTTATTTTGGGGGATTTCTTTTATTTTCATTCATTAAAAATAAAATTACAAAGTAGAAAAGTACGAAATAATACAAAAAAAGAAAACTGATATCTATTAACTTATAAGCGAGAATATCGGTCGGAGACTGAATCGATCGAAACTGCGGTTTCGATTCATGACTCTTTAGTGACACCGCGTGTCTCATCACTAATTAATTAATAACCCGCTATTTATACGACATAGTTCATCCAAAATCAATAGGCTCCTGGTCTGAGATATGATGAATGCACATGCAAAATTTGGAGCAGATTAAACCTCGCTTTCGTGAGATATCGCGTACATCTAACAGACAGACAAACACCTATCCCGATCAAGATCGATAAGTAATAACGAAACAAAACAATTTTTGCGTTATTGACTAGGTGGTATTTTAAGATGAGATCTTATATTGAAATCATTTTAAAAATTCAGGCTAGGTCTTATTTTCGGGGAAACAAGGTACGTAGTCACTCACAGACACACCTTCCTTTGACATTTGGGTATGACTTTGCTGGCATTGCGCTGGCCCTATTAGTCAATTGACCTTCATGTCCGTATATTTGAGCATTGCTCTTTTTTTTAGTATTATTATGAATCCTTTCACAGGAAAGGGCAAATCTCAACCAACTCCCGCTGTGTTTGGAAGATCACTATCTGTGACTGAAACGATTTCTGAATCTGAACCAGCGGCGAATCTGGCAACACCATTTGGTCCAGGTAAGTCAACAAATTTTGTTCTGCAATTTTTTTATGTTAGCTATTTGGTTTATGCAAAGTGACGCTCCATTTTCAAGGATATTATTCATATGTTACGGTTCATTTTAATAATTTACACCACCAAATGCAACAATGTAATAAAACTAAGATCAGGTGAGCGAACACGTACCACTTCTTCTTGGCAAAACCTTTCATCTTATATTATGTACGTTTTGAACCTTATCTAAGGTTTGTTTGCTTTCCTGATTTCATAATCTGTTTTTATTCATTTGTTTTTATCAATCATTTTATTGTTATGCTGATTATGGAGTCGAAATAAACTTATACTGCCTCTGAATAAATACTATGCCATGGATAGGTGAATTTATTCTGATATCCGCTCGATACAAAAAGATAACACACAGGATAGAAATTCAGGAAATTCATAGCTGAAAACAACTACGGCTTCTCAGAATTTACTACTTGTTATCCTTTTCACAGCCTCGAACACCGGCATTCACAGCATTCAAATACCAGCAGGAGTGACCCAAGTGGTGCTGCAACTGGGTGGGGTTGGCCAATTACCGGCAGCCCTTCCAGCTGCGGCCCCAGTTCAGGAGGCACGTCAAGGAAGCTTATCCATAAGTCCTGCTAATTCAACAGTGATTAACATGTACGGCGACGGTGAAAACAAAGTCTACATAGATAAGAGCTATATCCGCTCTGTTAACGCATAGATCGAAGTGTATAGTTTTTATCATTGGCCTGTAATCAAGATAAAAAGGAATTAAATTGGAGCATTTTTTAAGTGATAATTTTTAATGAACTTGCGCGCTATGCGCTTTCCCCTTGTGACTCTGTTTTTTTAATCTATGATTTAATTTTTGGTTAATTCGTGAAAATTTTTCAATATTTATTGCACTATTACACGTTTTACATGCTAATCATGGAATAAACCTCAAAAAAAGATAGAAACAATTTGGCATTTTTTTCGGAAACAAGGTGGTTCAGGGTACCGTATTTCAGAAATTTTTAGTTTTGTACCTTTCTTGTCCGACCAGCGAAAGACAGTCAGAAAATCAGTTATTAGATATAGGCCAACCGCAATCGAAAGTTGAAGTGGGTGCTTTGTAGCAGCAGCATTTGATGATTTTACATTTTCTCAGCACATTTAAGCAGTGGTGGAATCTAGGGGATTCGTGCGAAGCCGTTCCTGGAATATTGTGATACTCAACGGCCATCTGTTGTTAAGGATTTTATTATCGGGGAGAGCCCGTTCTTGAAATTGTGAATCGTTGCAAATAAACCAACTGTCAGTAACAGCAAATTGGGGTTGAATGGTCACTTATGACTCCTACCGTTTCAAATAGATTCCTGCCTTTGTGAGTAGAGAATATGTTAAGTTTTATAGTAGATTCTTGCCGAAATAACCAAATTATTCTTAAACATTATTAACTTGTAAATTATAAATAGATATTTAAATTTACATCTTGTTTCAAAAGAAATTTTTGAGAGCGAGTCGCTTGACGAGCAAAGTTTTTCTTTCTTAGACTATTTTGATTGTCGTGTTTTGCGGACCACAAGGCGCACTTCAACTTAAATCCCTTTTCTCAACAAAAAAAATCGATCGTGCGCCTTATATGTCGCAACGCTAGCCTACTTACTGAAGGGAAATGCGTTATTTTGTTTGTTTCGTTGTTTTCTGCTAACATTGTTAGCGAACGTATCACATGTAAAATCAATTCTAATTGGTCCTGTTCGGACGTTCACGTGAATGTAACATTGAACAACGATTTTTTAAAGGTGTTATCTACAGTATAGAAAAGCATGCTAGCGACAGACTATTTCATTATTCTTTATTCTTTTGGTGGAACATAAAAAATGCTAATTTCGGATCATTTGTATCGTTAGAGTCTATTCCTTTCTATTTTTCGAATCGAACCCGATATTTAGACAGAGAATATGCGTATATAAACTCTCGATGACAATATGGTCAATGAAGACAGCCAGGATGACTTAAATGTAGGCCTATGTAGTAAAATCGGAAACTGTAAAGTTACACAATGAGCATATATACAATGAGTGGAAACTTCCAAATATTTGCTCATTTATCCATTGTGCCCTGCATTTTTTACGTCGTCCAGCTAAATGGTTCGTTGCATATGGAGAAAGCATATCGCTCGCTGCAACAATTCTTTGCTTCGGCCGCGCCGGGTGCGAATTGCCGTATTGGGGCTTTTAATTTTTCGATTCGTGTTCGGTTTTGGGTTTCGAAGTATAGTACGTTGAAAGCATACTAACTATGAGCATATGCTTATAGGGAATGCATATCTATTAGGCAGAAAACGCAGCTATAGCACAGAATATGAAGTCAAGTGCGGTTATTTCTGATTAGAGCATGGGATTTAGGTACATATTTATCCAGGGGAAAGCAATGGCGATAAGAAGGCCTAAATGTATGGCGAACCACGGCTTCTCACAATCATAGTTTATAAGGTGCTCCATACGAATCCCCAGGGCTCCCCTATTTTAAATTACTCTGTCAGTCTGGGATATCTTGACATTAAAAACGAAGACAAAAATTCGAAGAATAGCAGGGAATCGGCTTTCCTCATCCTATATCAATGAATACAATGCCCCACGTCCCCCTTTACATGGGTTGCATTCCGTTTGAGAAACTTTTTTATGCGAAACTTCTTCCACAAAAAAGCAGCACTGTCGTTTTACGATCGCGCATTATGGTTTCGTCAAAACGATATTATTCTGTGTATTATCACTGCAGCGCAATTGACACCGCCAGACTTTTTTTTTATCTTTACGACATGTCATCTTTTTTAGTTGACGCTAATAATGATAAATAAGAATGCGTGATTGTTATTCAGTAACGCGCATGTAGCCGCCGTTTAGGGCGTTCAAAATGAAAGAAGGGTTATAAGGTAATTTAAGGACATTCTCTCTTATTTTAATACAAATACAGGGCGCATTAAAGGCAAAATGGAGTTTATTAACATAAATTTACAACGAGTTACGTAAAATTTACCGACGGCTATCGCCAACAGACAGAAACGGTGAATGTGAGAATTTTTTATTTTGTGTCATTTTTGCGCCATCATATTTTTCAATTTCTAATTTTGCGTAAATCGCGTCAACATCGTTTTTGTAAATTTAGAAACAGATAAGCAAGGCATGTGAACAAGGTATTCTATGCAAATTTCCCGAGATATTGTGGAGAAATAATATTTTGACCACGTAGACCATTATTGCTGATTTATTCACGTGTTAAGTATCAGTGTTTGAAACCAAAGCTATGTTACGTGAATACTCAACAATTTGCGGAGTTTTTTAATTATTATTTAATACGAAAGTAACACGGAAACGATATAAAATTAAAACATGAAAATGTCAACTATTAGCTTCACAAATATCGCATCCCGGAGTCAGTAAGGATAATATTGTTCGCTCAAAATTGGGACCGTAACTGTGATACAAATCCTACAGAGAAGATAAAAATCAGAATAAAATTAATTTTTGTTGTGAATGCATTCCTAAATAGTTGTCTTTAACATCCTCGCCAATATTCGTTAAAATATTCGGATAATTTTATATAAAAAAATACGATTTTGCTCACCACTAATCACGACGCATGTAAATAATCATTGAATGACAATAAAAAATCAGCTTTATTAGCATTAAATTCCAAGTAAAAGTTCCACATTTCATGCGTTCGATCGGCGCTACACGCGAGCGTGTTTTTGTATATATTCACCAAAACCGTCAGAGGCGAGCTACACGTAACTGTGGAATTTCGCTGTGAACGACGCATTGTTTTTAATTTATTACCCGCCTTACGCCGCCATGAATTGAACTTTTGGTGCACTGTTTTAAAACCACCGTAATCCCCCCCCCCCCCCCGTTGGAAAAATCCTGGCTGCGCCCCTTGTTCAAGTTCCAGTATATCTCACTATTAATTACAAATATATAATTGCATCCAAATCAACAGTATCTATATATATGACTATATGAAGGATCGTTAAAATAAAACAATATATATATGCAAAAATCATAATTGATAACAAAATGTACTCTAAATAATATAATAAAAAAAAAGAATTTTTGTGTAAATTCACAAGACATGAAAACGGCAAATTTGAAATTTCAATGGCAAGATATACCAGAGTAATTTAGAGTTAAAATCAGTATTTTTAATAAGTAAACGAATAGCTTACAAAGTCCTGGCAGTCTGGGGGTTCATATGAAGCACAGAGCTATTTGGAGAGGCCGTGGTTCGCCATATATTCAGGCTTTCGGCTTTCCTCTCTCCCTCGATAAATATGTAAGTCCCATGTTATATCAATGAATAAATACAGCAATAACCGCACCCCACGTGGCGACTGATTCATATTCTGTTCTGTAGCTACGTTTTCTGCCTAATAGATATGCATTCCCGATATGCGTATGCTCCTAGTTAGTATGCTTACAACGTACCATACTTCGAAACCCAAAACCGAACACGAATTGAAAAATTAAAAGCCTCATTACGGCCAATTTCGCACCCAGTCCAGCTGAAACAAGGGATTTTTGCAGCGAACGATATGCTTTCTCCATATGCAACGAACCATTTAGCTGGACGACGTAAAAATGCAGGGCACAATGGATTAATGAGCAAATATTTGGAAGTTTCCACTCATTGTATATATGCTCATTGAGTTACAGGAGGCGTCCCGCTTTGAAGTCAAAAAAATATGGTAACCCTATCTAATCACCTTTGATATATTATTTCCAGTGTGGTTGAATCCTATGTTTGTAGAAAAGTGATTAGATTCGGGATTGTCGTCCTATTGGCTTTCGTCTTCAATGGGACAAATATTAAATCCAAATCCACCCTTTATTTATGGCGATCAATGGCATTTATCGTATAGCGTATTATATAGAAGTTATGTCGAATATGGAAATAGTAAATCAGTTATTCGCTCTAAATGCATGGACGCTGAAACACAAGAACACACAAATTAAAGCGAATGATTAATTTCTCAAAAATTTTTTATTTGAAAAAAGCTTTTTCTTCAGAATAGGTCTTACAAATATTTGTGAAAAGATATCTGCCACAAAAATCTTTTCATTTATCTCCTAAATCTGGCAACCATCGTTTTCGATCCAATTTCGTCGTGTTTACGTTTCATGCCGTCATCGTCGGCGCTCTCGTTTGCGTTCTGCGTTACGTGAATCTGTCTTTGGTGTTTCTCTGTGTTTCGTATTCAGAATACAGAAAATACACGGTGAAATAAAAGATAATGGATTTTCAACACAGAGCCGGTGGTAAGACAGGTGGAGGTGGTGTGGCCTCGTTCTCCGATGCAAATAGAGATCGCAGAGAAAGGTTGAGACAGTTGGCCTTGGAAACAATTGACTTAAATAAGGTGAATTTCATATTGTTCCAGTTCGTTTTAAAGTAGGCCTATAAGGAATAGAAATAGAAACCCTGTCGAGTTGATATGTCTATGAATATCTATATTGGTAATATACTTTTGCACTTTCTGACTTTGGAGTAAATGAACATAATGCTTCATAACTAAAGCAATAAAGATAATTCGGGAATTTAATATTTTGTTAATGCAGTACAGCACACTATACAGATCGAGCGACATTGTCTCGTTTCAGAAAAACCCATTTTACAGATTATCAGACACCCCTCATTTGGGAGACGCCTGGACATTGTTGTCCCTCAATATCGGTAATAATACAGTATAATGAAGTTGCGCAAAATACTACAAAAAAGCGCAATCTAATAACGTCATCATTGAATTTCTTGGAAAAAATAATATGATTTACCGAATGAAAAAAAATTTACTGTGGCATTTGAGAGTTTTTAGAAAAAACGACAATTTTGGTCACATGACGGCCGTGATTAATTTAGATTAT